GGACCGTCCTCGAACCGACATTGCAACTTCGATGTATCGGGGCTTGACGATCATCGTCCCTGAGGAGAAACAGTTCCTGCAATTCTCAAACCAATTTCGACATAGACACATGCAGTCACCTCCAGATCTACGATACAAATCTAAATTAGATTAAACGTTCGGGGCCTTCCGTAGTAATTGATCCCGCATATTCTATGGACAAACCTACCAGTATAGCATCGAAACCTCCAACTTCTTTTGTTTCGGCCATCGTGCTTGCATTTGATAACGGCCGTACCCCAGTAACCGCTTGATAACGAGGGTAGCCTGGTTCCTTTGTGCGTGTAGTCCCAGCAGATTAAGTAGACGAAGTTTTTCTATCAGTCTAACGACTGGCAAGGCTTTGAATCCCAGTGAATATATATATATATATCGGTTGTGGAAAACTACTAGGCGACGGATGTCTTTTACTCGCAAATTCAAGGTCTCAACTGATCATACAGTGATGCCAAGTGGCTTTTTAAAATGCAAGTACATCGGCTGCAATAGAAAGATAATTAAACTGCATTATCAGTAAGCAGTGACACCGTGCTATAAAGATTGAAGTTTAACAAAATTACAATATTCTGTCGCGATGAGTGAAAAGTCAGTGAATCACTGCTTTTCAAAAATCTCTCCTTCCGAGGTTGTGAGTGGACACGCTGCGGATCTCCTACGATCTGATGCATGTAGTCCTTTTCTTCAGACTGGATTTCTGATTCTGGAGCTTCATTTATCAGTTGGACCGCCGAATGTGTGGGCAGTTCTTTCGTGAGGTGCACCTGTTGATCTGGTGTGGTTTTATGAGTGTTTTCCGATGAACACGCTTTCGGGCAAGCTGCCTCATTGAGACAGTTTCCTCTTTTCCATTCGGAAGAAGCTCATGAACATATTGCTGATTGCAGTTTAAGATTTCCACTTCTTCCGTTAGTTGATCATATTTTGAAGACCGATTCATTCTTTTGAGAAGAGCTGGATTCATTTTCAGTTTGAACAACCATTACCCTTGCATTTTCGTGCGCCGGTTTTGGTTACTGTCTTTTGGCTGCCCATTTGGATGAAGAATAGGAGAAAGACAGGAAAGGTTGAAAGTGGGATCGAAGAAAAGATTGAAAAGTTCAGTGAATTAATGATACAGAGAAATTGAAAAGATGCACGAACGCCACTGTTTACGATACCCAGGCATATCACTCAGTGTCTCTAACCATCGGGTACGATCATCCCGAGGTCCCCAGCCANTACAGAGAAATTGAAAAGATGCACGAACGCCACTGTTTACGATACCCAGGCATATCACTCAGTGTCTCTAACCATCGGGTACGACCATCCCGAGGTCCCCAACCAGGGAGCCTAACGAGACCTATGTGACCTAGACTCCTGGTTAGGGTTTTCATACCCTCAGGCCAGGTCTTAGCTTGACCACCCTTGGCTTTCTTCCAACCACTACCTTCCTCGGCAAAAATCGCTCGCCGTGGTAACCGATTTGGAGACATGCGTAACACGTCCCAACCAACGTGATCTATGGAGGTCGACCACTTGCTCCAGTGGGCGACCTCGATTACCTAAATCTTTTCGCCTGACCTCAGCATTGTTCGTCCGGCTACCCCACCAAATTCGTGTAATGCTGCGTAGACAGCGGTGTTCAAACACCGACAGTTTATCTTTATCCTGTTTTCTTAATGGCCAAGTTTCTGCACCGTATAGCAGGACTGACCGAATTGTCGTGGCATACACTCGACCCTTCACAGACAGCCGGATGTCGCGATGGCGCCACAGATGTCTCAAGTTGGCAAATGCCACCCGAGAATCAGGATGAACATAAGATGGCACTCAAAATAATAAATATAAATGAAACAATTAATAGCAGTTGAGGATGATAGATCAGCGCAAGCAAAATCGAAAGGAAACCCAGAGTATTCATCCATCACGGTCCAAAGGTACTTGCTGCGGGAGATGGAGGGAGCTGAACCTTAAAAGTCAGTCCTTTTACTAGGCTGCCAGGAGTACTTTTGGACGCGCATGGTCTAGGTTATGAACCTGCTTGACAGGCTAGCAAGTTCTGCAACTCCTTTGGGTATGCGCTTTGCACCTCCAAAGTGTGAAGTCATGCTACAAGACTGGGTATCATCTACCCCAGCGCTGATGCTTGATGGTTAAGAATTAGCTGTAGTGGAATGTTTCACCTACTTAGGTAGCTGCGTAACAAATGACGGTAGCATGACCAATGAAGTAACCACCCGCATTTCCAAGGTTCGAGCAGCTTACGCAGGGCTGAAACACCTTTGGTGCAGACGTGATTTTTTGTTGAAACTGAAAGGTCGTGAATACTGCGCCGGTGTGCTGTCAGTTCTGCTCTAAATTTACGCGTGGAAGATATTCGTCGTCTAAAGGTGTTCGATTGCCGATGTTTACATAGTTTGGTGCGGGTTAGATGGAGCGAGCGTGTAAGCAACTCTGAGGTAATGATTCGATGGAGAATTCGTTGTCCCATCGAATTCAGATTAGTCCGCTTCACTGATTAGGACACGTATTGCGCATGCCCAGTCATCGCCTACCGCACCGCAGCTTATTCACAGCTGCGGCTCCAGGTTGGAAAAAACCGCGTGGAGGTCAGCAGATGATGTGGAAACGAGGCATGGAGGAATGCACAGAATGGTTAGATACAATGGGTGTCTCCCGTCTTCCAGGTTGGGGTCCGAAAGACTACAACTGGCTGATTGGAGACATTGAAGGATATGGCAGCGAACCGGCAGCAGTGGCGTTCTTGTTGTCGTTTCTTATCAGGTCAGAATGCTTGAAACGGTATGTATGCAGAGTTCGATTGCGTACTCTGTGTTGACCATAGTCCCTCATCTTCTCCCTCCCTCAAAATAGATCCAATCCCTGTCCACCTTAAATTTTACCACTAACCCTGTATGCATTGCGAGTTTGGCAGCGGTCAGTGAAGTTCGCTTCACTGTATTTCGCTGTACGATGATGATGATGATGACTGCTATATATGGCTTTTCCTTTTCTCGAATGGCAATTGGGCAATAAGAATTTTTGCAGATCGAGTCTACTGAAAACAGAATATTGGGTCACCTTTTCCAATAGTTCCTCCATTCGTGACAGAAGTAAAACGGTTTATCGTTTGGCTGTCGTCAAGTACTATCCGTTTCTCATGTCTCTCGTTGGTCGTTACGAGAAACAATGTTTCTCGAAGCTATTTCCACTAAAATCTCATTCACTGCATCAGTACCATTGCATACATCGGGGTGGAATTCATCAGTCGTTGCCAACTCCACATATTTCCAAGATGATTGCTGATTTTTACGATGTACAAGGAATAGACATGCTCAGTGGGACATAAAAACAGAGTAAATCAATAAACAACACTATCCAATCTAAATGTGCATGCACAACACCAAATACCCAGTCTATTTGGGAATCACACTAAACATTACTTTGGCTCGCTACCGTGCCTTATATCTTCAGTCATTGTGCTACATGATCTTTTAAACCTGGTGGCGGTGGTCAAGGTTGCCAACTTATCGCCCTAGCAACTGGCTTTCCTAGTTTTCCATTCATCATATGATAACCATCTGGTTGGCCGCTTAACCCTTCTTAAAAGTTTTTCGTGCCATTTGGTGGTAGGCAGCTTTGCTGTCGTCCGGTTCAATACCACTCCTTATTTGTCAAGGCTTTATGTGTTTCGCCACTCCAAGTCCCGGGGTTCAGGTTGCCGGTTTCCATCACTGAACAGAAGGTCCTCGTGACTATGGGGTTCGCCTCGTCTGCTGTTTATCATACTTAGATGTGTAATAGAAAAAATCTATTTAATAATACCTGTGAAAGAAGTAACCGTATGCATATTTGGTGTTTGAGCAGAGTTCGTTTAGTCGGAACACCTCTGGTATCAGTTTTATGAAAAAAAATCGAGAGAAGGATCCGGCTCCACAAATTCCCTTTAGCGGGATCCCGTTGGTTAGATCACTTACTACGCACCACAACATTTGAAAACAAGCTTAGGTGTGCATTTGGACTCACCTTTCTGTTAGCTTTTGTCTAACAGGAGTAGTCTTCCATATTGCTTGTTTTTCCATCGCAATTAATGGTTGTAGTGACTATAAAAATGAAGTAAAAAGCCCTCCTACCATGGCTGTTGTGCAGGATCTATTTAACCACCAGACGAACAATTATAGATAAATGTCATGAATTGCACCTCCAAGACAACTCGTATTTGAAAGCCGTGACACGAAAATTGTAAAACGGCTCGGACAATCTACAACGTTTAGCGTGTTTGTAACTCCGAAGATTCAGAAGTGGTAAAAATACCGTTCTTATCTCTTCAGATGTGTATGCATACGTTTAATAGTGTAGAAAGTTTCCTTGTGTCCACAACACCTCACTCCAGAAAAGTCTAAACTGATCTTTGTTTATGCATTCATAGCCTCTGATTTTAGCTATCGACAAATAGTATAAACCGCGATTCTTTTCAGATACGTATGGTGATGTTGATTTACTATTTTCGCCTGGCCGGAGGAACGCTCTTAAATATAACACTATAGCCTTACTATGGTACAAAACAAAGTACACATAAGAAGTGATTTTCAATTACACACCCTTTTGTGTAACGATAGAGCACACACCATAGTTTGCATTTGTATAGAATTTTGCATGAACAGATGTCCGCATTTCAGTCTAAAATTACACATCTCATCGAGAGAAGGAGAAATATAAGTAACATATTTACCCTCCAAGGTTACTGAGAAATTCCGAAGAAACGCGCTGTTGGCTTACAAGGATTCTAGCGGGATAGGGAACTGGGTAATTTCTGAAGAGGGTAATAATCGATATGTAGAACGCGTGGATGTGTGAGAGCAACATTTGGATAGATCGCGATGTCAAGGATGATTAAGATGAGAAAGGATTTTCTGTGCAAATGTTTCACATGCGGATCTGTCGTTCAGTCATGGAGACCGGCAACCTAGACCCCGGGACTTTGTGTGGTGAACTTCAGAAGACTCCACCAGGTTAGACGTGGTGTTGTTTCGGACGACAGCGAAAACGCCTACCACCAAAATTGGGTGTCAGTGTCAGGTTTTGGACCACAGGGCCCACACTGGTGACGGCGACTTAAACCGTTTGATCGCCGCCACCCAGGGGTTTCGGTATCTAAACCCTAGTTTACCCATCATTAACCACCTCACTCGATGCATTGTCCTGCTCAGTCTTCATTTTTTTTGTGTAGCAAGCAATACGATATGCAGTTATTTGGTTTTTGTTCTTCGCAATTAATGGACAGACAGTGCCAAGAGATCCAGTCTCCGGGCAAAAATACTTCTGAGGACTTCAGCAATAGTTTGCGCCTTTATTAGAAGCCCACTCTCGGGTTTTGACTAGCGCCCTGAAGTTATAGGACCTTAAGTTTATTCTTCTGAATTCTACCACTTTACGTTGTACCTGTGTAATATGGTCTTCGAGCTGAAAAGCCTGATTGGCTCGCAAAATGGCTTTTCTAGCATTCCTTGTTCATATGCCGTCGGCAAGTCACATGAATGTTTTAGTAGTTCTAATATGAAGTTTTGCGATTTCTCGAATATCAGGTCGAAAAGTGTTCCATGTGATGCTGCGAACATGTTTTTAGTTCGTATCGATTAAGACCAATAAATTGTGTTCCGTTAGGGATTAAATGACAAGAATTCTGATTATTTGAAATTAGTGACAATACGTTTTTTTACTTTCAGTTGCTGACTCGTGTGTTTGCTCAACTGGGGGTACATAACCCGGAGCTTGTCTCGGATCCAAAACGTCGTTTGGTTATGGTCCCTCCCCAAATGGCACGTGTCGGAACAAAGAAGACACTGTTTGTCAACTTTTCAACTATTTGTGGTCAATTAAATCGAGATCAAGCCCATTTGACTGCCTACATCTTGGCCGAATTGGGAACCCAAGGTTCAGTTGATGCTAGCGGTGGTCTGTTGATTAAAGGTCGTTATCAAAGTAAACACATGGAACCCGTATTACGAAATTATTGCCGTAAGTTTCTGATCACACCTATGGTTCATCACAGTCAATATTTTATTGCGTAACGGGTAAAATAAGTGTCAGTGATTCGGTTTTGATAGAATTTCCGGGTTGAGTGGCAGCACTTGAGTTCTTTCAATCACTGCGATTTGTTCACCATTCCATGACGTTCTGTGTCAAATCTGGGCGCGCCTATTCCTCTTTGAGAATGAGTTTATAAGGTATCGCCTGGTTTAAAATCGCTCCTTTGTACTCACACGTTGAAACATCCAGAGGCCACACTTCACATCAGGTCTTTGCCAATATGAGATATCGCTTTCTATTATGTACACTGTTTGCGCATGCATTAAAAAGATTCTCGCTAGAAAACCACTTTATTTTGTTACAAGCAGTAATGAGAACCCTGTATTTGCTAGCCGATACAATTTTGTACACCTGTTTTCTGATGGCCTATAAATAACTACTGACATCTGCTTGGGGAATCTTCCCGTTGGTTTCTTTTTAGTTGATGACTCAAAGAACAACAAATTATATTGTTCATTTTAGTATACTGATGCGAAAGCTGCCATGAGTCGTCCTAAAACTGACGTGTTACCAAATCCGCTGCACAAGAACATCTAATCGATTATAACGGACTTCTGTCACATGCACATTATAAAATAATAACCCTGGCTAGCTAGCGTCTTAGTTTCATTGAGCGATTGATTTTGCTCGTGATGGTCCATTGGTTTCAGTGGTTGTCATCCGTGGAAGTAAACACTAAAGTTCTCTTACTGTATTTCTTTGTTAATTAATTATGAACACTCTTTTCGACTGGTTTGTTCAATCATCTATTCTTCCCATCAAAGCGTCTCTGTAAATCGGGGCGACGATTTTTTTTGTGCTTCGGGTTGATGCACGTTTGCTAAACAGAAGGAATATTGTTACGCTTACAACTATGAATACTCCGGATGTATGTTGACTTATTTTAACCCCTGTATTCGCACAGGCTAGCAAGCTATGTTGCTCTGCTCAGTGTACACTTGGCATCTTCAAGTTTCAACTTGATGATTTAAGGCTGGTTATCATTTACCTTTGCTCTGAATCTCCATGTTTTTGAATTACCTCGTGAATTGGCTCCCACCTATGCAGTTACGTTACTTATGCCGGTCTCGCCATAAACCAGGTACTCAAGAGTTGAGCCACCTATGGCTATGGCGTGACTTCCTATTGAAGTTAATTATATATACGTATTTCACACGTCTGAGTTCAAACTGTGTACCAAGAAAAACAGTAGAGTAATCTTCACAAGGAAAAAGTTCCAAGAGAGTGTTCGAGATACTTCTCAACAATCTAAAGGAAGGCATTGGGGCGGGGTTTGAAAACCGTAATTCAGTTCATCTGATAATGCGCCCATTCAGTTCAGTTTGTACAACCATTAACCGCGCATATTCTTGCGCCGGTTTTGGTTGCTGTCTTTTGGCTGCCCATTTGGATCAAGAATAGGAGAGAGAAGGAAAGTTGAAAGTGGAGTCGAAAAGAAAATGTAGAGGTTCAGTGGTCTAAGGTTGTAAATAAATTGAGAAGATACACGAATGCCACTGTTTGCGACATCCAGCCATATCACTGTCTCTAACCATCGGTTACGATCATCCCGAGGTCCCCAGCCAGGGAGCCTAACAGGACCTGCGACCCAGTCTCTTGGTTAGGGTTTTCATACCCTCAGGCCAGGTCTTAGCTTGACCACCGTGGGTTTTTTTCCACTGGATATCTGCTTCGGTGAACATCGCTCGCCGCGGTAACCTATCTGGTGACATGCGTAACACATGTCCCAACCAAAGTAGTCTATGGAGGTCGACCACTTGCCCCAGTGGGCGACCGCGGATACCGAAAACTCTGCTCCTAACCTCAGCATTGCTCATCCGGCTACCCAACAAGATTCGTGCAATGCTGCGTAGACATCAGTGTTCAAACACCGACAGTTTATCTTTATCCTGTTTTCTTAATGGCCAAGTTTCTGCACCGTAAGCAGGACTGGCCGAACTGTCGCGGCATACACTCGACCCTTCACAGACAGCCGGATGTCGCGATGGCGCCACAGATGTCTCAAGTTGGCAAATGCCAACCGAGCCTTCTGTATGCTAGCAGATACTTCATCCGTGACGCGTCCACCAGGTGAGATGTACCTACCCAGATAACAAAACTTATCCACCTGCTCTATCACTTCCCCAGTTAGAGTGAGACTGGGTGCTAGACCAACCAAGTCCTGTAGTAACATTTTACACTTTGAAGGTGCAAAACGCATACCGAATATGGTTAGCCTGGCATTCAAGTTATCCAGAAAAGCTTGCAACCTATCTGGATCTTCACTTAACAGCACAGTGTCGTCTGCGTACTCTAGATCAGAGAGTCTGCCTCCTGGGAGGATAGGGCTGTTTCCATAATCAAATCCATAACAAAACTGAATAGAAATGGAGAGAGAGGGGGCAACTCTGTCGAACTCCGCTTTCCTTGATGAACTCGAGTGAAAAAGTGCCATAAGCTCGAACTCGGCTCCGGCTATTATTATTTCAGTATGGTAATATGGCATAATTTTCGATGGTTAAATTTCGCTTTTTTCTCACATACAAAGACTGCATAACGTGAATCTGAGTTATCTAACCGTCATGTTCGAATACTCGATTCAGAGACATTTATGCCTACGACTGATCTTCTATTGGGGATAATTTCTTGTTCAAACTTTACTAGTGTTTTTCACTGATTGCTTGTAATCAAAGGTTCACTCCTGCATAAAGACTCCTGTAACCCGCATACTTTTTTCTTGACCTGCAGGCAATTATGTCCTCTGTGTAACTTGTCAATCGTCTGAGACAGAACTGTGCAAAGATTCTCGTTTACTCTTCCTTCATTGCCGCCGATGTGGTTCACGTACCACAGTGAAGAACGTCACCTCCGGTTTCCAGGCTGTTACAGGCAGACGCGCTGCAATACGCGCTCGAACTCAGTGATCCAGTTCCTTTTCGCTTCCATCTACTCTGTCGAATGAATTGCCCCCGTACAACAAATGATGTTTTTTCTACCAAAACCTCACTAATTTGCAGTCCTTTCGCCCGTGTTGGTTCGTCCCCACCCCAACAGTCGGACCGGTAAAGGGAGTTTGCGCGAACTATGTCTCTTTATCGGTCTATTGGAGTTTGTTTGTCCCGAAAAGGCAATTCAATTCACTTATTCCCCTCCTAACTTGCACCTTGTGTACAGCAAGAGAATGGATCCAAATAACTGCATGGACTTGTTTGATTTGGTTTCAGCAGATATTCGTAGTTTGTGAGGTTTTTTCGTTGCGTGTATCGACTTTACTACTTTCACAGGATTGCCTCTTAGGCATCATGTATACCGCGGAGCGTTGCCCACGAGGCTCGGTGATTGGATTCCTCATCAGTACAAACCGACGTAGTTTGATTTCCCGTTTTTTAGCTTAACCAAGGTAATCGCATCATTTTGAAGTTGTAATGTAAAGCGTTGGCTGAAATGCCGTCTTGAATGTTCGAACCACCTTCATTGCCGATCAATGGTTTTAACTATTTTTTTTGTTACACATCTAAGTGTGATGAACAGCAGACAAGGCCAACCCCATAGTCACGAGGGCCTGCTGTTCAGTGATGGAAACCCGCAACCTGAACCCCGAGACTTGGAGTGGCGAACCACACAAAGCCCCGATAGGTTAGGCTCAGACCAACTACTGAAGAGCCCACTTGGTAGTTTATCAATGGAATGGAAAATTGGTTCCAAGTGATCGTAACACTAATTTTGATGTCCAATCGCAATAATAATAATACGATTACGTTGATGAATGCGATGAATTTACTTTTAGTTGATAACGACCCAATAAAGATGATTTGGAATACACCATAGCGGTTAACATTAGAAGGTCGTGTAAACCAGAGTACTTCGTTATTGCATATCTTATGACGGCAATCCATCTCATGCTGACCGTTGCTTTAGAGTTTCAAGAAGAGAAACTCTTCTGTTTTAGTTATTTATTATTGGTATAGCCAGGAAAAGGCTGGTAGAGGTTCTCGTCATATTTACGACATGCTTGTACCTGATTTCATCAGCTGAATGATTCTCCTATTTCATCATCATGCTCTGCCACACTTGTGCATGTAAACTTGTCTCCATCTGGTTTTCCAACCAAATTCTTGGACGGTTCTAGATACTATCTAGGACCATATTAGTAGTTGCTGATCTTTTGCTGGTACACCATTAATTCCATGCGTGCTTCCGCCCATCTTTCATCCTCATGGCTTCATTTAGTTATCTACCTACCCCTCTATCCCACGCCTAACCAGCGGGGCCTTATGTGGTTCGCTACTCTAAGTCCCACGGTGCAGGTCGCTGGTTTCCATCACTAAACGGCAAGTCTTTCTAACTATGGGGTTCGCCGCGTCTGCTGTTTATCACACAATTGCAAATAATAAAATAACCAATGAAGATGAGAGTATGACTAAATAAAAGACAGTGTTACCAAAGCAGGTTTAAAGTATCAAAAGTTGGAAAAAGCCCGATGTACTTGCGTGCTGCTTATTGCATCCATATCGCTTAATACTAATTTCGCCTAAGGTTTTTTTCGCTGAGGGGTGAACTGGCTTCTTTCACATCTCGAATCATAGTATCTCAAGCGCATTGATCCTAGGCTAAATCGCAAAATGGGGCTAGCCAATTGCTATGCACGTATTCGACCACCAGTTCCCATTTATCATCTAATCTCGTTGATCATGACAGACACTGACCAATACCCTTCCAGGTCGTTTTGACTGTGAGCCAGCTTGACCTATTTTCATGCCATCGTTTATCGACTCACGATTATTCATCAAATTGGTAACCCGGTTCCGATCAGCACACTGTGTTCTGATTTCTTGGGTTGGGTTGCGGGCCCCCACCACTACTATACGTTCGTGTCGCGATTGGAGTTTGGTTTTAATACGAATTTCTGTTCCCTTGGCAGATGCCGCATACGTTTTGAAGTTCCAGGTTCTCTGCGTCCAAATATATATTGGGGGATTCATAACTGGAGCTTTCGGCCAGCCAAATCCATCGGGAGTCGGTGTCCTGTTTATCAGATCAAAGGCTCTTGGGACGGGGGCAAGCGTCCAAGGTACCCGATCGAGCTGGTGACCACTTCCACAGCCAGGAAGGTGTCAATGGATGTAGTTTGTACTCCTCATCTTGGTTCGTTTGGAACTAGGGTTCTTAGCCAGCTCCTCTAGGTGAACTGCCAGTAGTTCACCGACCCGGATGCTGGCTTTTCGTCTTCTCACTTTGATGGGAAAAATCTCTGCCACTGGAGCGCAGTAAGTAGATCGTCATAAAGATCCATCCATCGTTAAGGATGAAGTATGGGAGAGCACCCCAAGTGGACTCCGAATTTTCGGTGTCAAATGGTCAGCTGGCGGGAAACTGTTTTCTCTGGAATATGCTGACCGCACTGTCAGTCTGTTGGATTATATGGATTGAGCCCAATGTACGCTTGACAAACTAAGACTAGTTGTGTCACTAATAACAATAAAGAATGTGGCTACACCCGTATCTAAGGCTCCAGCTGTGTATACTGAACTGAAACATCTGTAGCGTCAGCGTGCTATTTCCTTGAATGTGAAAGGTCGCGTATACTATACCACTGGGCAATCACTTTTACTTGACGCGTGCGAAATCCTGAATCTGCGCTTGGATGGAATTTTCTACCATCGATTTTTGCGTCGTTTAGGCCGAGTGGGCAATTAACACCGAGATAAATCGTCGTATTTCTCAAGCGTTATGTGGTGAGAAATTAATTGTCACAGAATTCCGTATAGTGCGTTCCCCTGTTTCCACCCGCGACCGTGAGAGTAATCACACGAACCGCGGAGATTGAAAGCAGGTGTTGAGTTATTTTCGTTTGTTGTGAAATACTCGGTTGGATGTCAATGTGTTCGTGCAGCAACCAGTTGACTTTTGCCCACGGAATTTTCGATGCAGTCTGATGATGATTGTTTCCTCTCTCATACGTGTTCGTTTGTTTGTGACCACGCCTACGACTGAGTAGGCGTGTGTACTGACACATGAGTGGCATAGATGAGAGTATCTATCAAGTCCAATTGCATAAATTGGTTTGTGAATGTAGCCCCGAAGGTGGACGCTCAGATACAAAAAGTAGATGGTAAATACATAAGGTGAGCAATCCAATGCACTTAAAAAATTTAATTCACCCAAAAGCGATTTGAAGTTTCAACATTGTTTATTCGGGTTGTAACGCTATCCTTTTTCATTTTACTTTATTGAATATACAAAGATACAATTTTCAGGAAGAGGGGGGGGGGAAGCGGCCGATCAAAGGGCTGCCATGCAGCACACACAAATGGGGAAAGTCAGGTGGCGATGGGGTTCGAACACACATCCCCGGGGTGATAATTTGGTGACGTTACCACTGCACATCGGGTGGTATGGGGTGCGGGAAAGTATTTTATTATTGTAGTCCGGCAGAACAAAAGTATTCTATGCGATCTAGTGGCAGAAATAGATAAACCTGTTTCTGACTTGGAACGAAGTCTGTCTGCTGTCGCCAAGTATTCTGTGCTACTACTTCTACAGGTGTATATATATATTGGACGTCAACATGGAGCGTTACGGAAAATGGCATTTTAATAAACCACAAGCTTCAATACTCTGGAGATCCTTTTTGAAATCGGTTCTCACAAGATCCGCAGTGTATGCACGGTCCTATCAGAACACGGCTATGTCGCCAACGAGCGTTCGTACAAAAATTGAACGAGACGCCTCACGAAACGTACGGCAGTTGCAGTGTGAGTAAACCTGCAGAGACAAAAGAAGAAGGTGCGGAATGTGAAAGCAAACACGCGTGAACCAAAGAAGTGCCCTTGGTGTGGTAAAAGAGGAGTCTTACATGATGAAAACGTAGTTGGTGTCACTTCAACAGTGCCTAAGAGAATGCAATATATAACACTCAGACTGAAGGTGTCGTATTTTACTGGGTTTTAGCCGCACAGGATGTTCCCAAAAGATCGTCTTCTGGTTTCTCGTCCATATAGGAACTCCACATGTGGTGAACGAGAACACAGCTGGAAGCGTGTAGGAATTTATTTATGGGAAAAAGCGAGGACGGGAGTGCAGGTATCAAACGATTGGTTGACTGGATTACTGTCAACATTCCGATTGGTTGGCGGTTCCGGCCAATCACCTGAGTTCGCCTATCAATGTTCTAATTGGCTGTCCCAGAATGAAGCAGTTTTCAGGGAGCATGTTGACTCCCTGACGTACTGAATCTGATCGATATATTACTCACAGTAACGTTGCCAGTTTTGGCGCCGCATCTGCTAACTTGATCACATCAGCAATTAGTTTGCTCCTCGAGTATTTTCAAACGGTATCAGCATTGTATCTGGGAGAACGGGAACATATGCTGTCCGCAGTTTTCATCATAAATTCGGGGAGGGGCATAAAGTTGCTATCTGATTCAGGTATGTAAGTAATTCCGCTGGTGGTAAACACAGCGTACCGTCTAACAACACTCCATGGTATCCGCACGTTTATCAATTATTTAGGACCCTATTCCTGACTAATTGTCCTGTAACTGTTTCGGAGACTTAGATCATCACATCTACTCAAAGGGAAGGAATGGTGTCCTTTCGCCAAATGAAAGGTTTCATCATATGAATTCGCCAAAAAGTCTTTTCGGATTGGGAACGATCCGTACGTGCCTGGTTCTATGGACACATCTACGATATTTACAGAATATTTTAAAGAATTCCCACGGTGAACAAACTATCAGGATGGATATAGTTATCGCGTTTATTTTATTGTTGTAACCGCTGGAGTTATAATCAGTGTCATATCATATTTTGCTTAAGCGTTCATTCATTTGGCAAAAAATGAACAGCGGGACGTTTTCATCTGATCCGAACGATAATTTGATCGAGGTTTTCGCTTTTCTGTTTTTTGCGTATATTCACAC